CTGTGCATAACTTAACCTTGAAGACAAGCCGGGGTGCTCTTAATGAAAATGTGCTTGGTGCTTTATTCTTAGCAATCTTTACGACTGTGATAATTTACCTTGAAACCCAGCACATGAAATGTAATTTCTAGCACTTGACATGAGTGTTAATGTATCTATTTATGCAGCACTGGTGCATTCACAAACATAGCTTCAATATCTCTCTATGCTCAGTGTAGTTATATATTATTTGGGCTTTTGATTCAAATCTGGTTCAAGCAGAATTAACCGGCAGCACCCAAAGACGGCATAAATGTTCAGTGCTCGTGATCAAAAATCCCCCCGACGTGAAACAGGTTTGGCAGAAATCTCATCATGTGGGACTCAGTGACTTGAGGGCATTTTTAAGGACCTTTTCTGTTTTGAATTTGAATCTGATCACGGAAATAAATGTTTTTATGCACATTTATTAAGAAGTAGTCCAATAATTGTGGGCTGGCAAGAAGAGCAGGTCCATTTTTGCGAGAGACAAAAAAACACACTCTGATCAAACATTATGCAAATGTGGACCAGTGACATCAGCATGCAGATTTCTGCTTTCTTCTTGTGGACACAGTCAGGTGATATGCAGTGCGTATTAAAAAAAACAACAGCTTTCCAGATTCTTTTTAGAAGCTTTACTAAGCTGCATTTAATGTAAAGGCATTAAATGCAGGATTCAGACTGTGTCCTCAGTTGTAAATAAATCCTGAGCCCGCTTACTTTACTAAAAACTATCCACACACTGAACGTGTGCATTTAACCACAGCAGGTTTTCTCACAAACAATACCCATTTGAGACTTCATCGTGATGAAGGCTAAAAGGTCTGTGCACAAAACGGTGATTCAAAGTGAACAGCATCCCTGCAGGCACTAATGTTGTGGCCGCTGAACTGTATAAAGACTGTATGGCTGCAGCTGTCAAAATCCTCAAAAAGACTCCTCTGGCTACATTAATATGCTTATTATATTTCAATTATTAGCTCATGGTCACAAGGAAGTGATTTTCATAATTGGTGTTTATAATACATTGGATCTAACAGAGGTTTTAAATTTCTGTCTTTAGTGTTCAATTTAAAGACAATAACTGATAAAATCTCACTTTTTCATTGCATAATTGGCATATCTTTGCAGGGCCATACACACCACAAATTCTAGGCTGTTGACTAAAATTCCTTCTGACGATTCAGCCCCGGGAGATACAACTAATAAAACATACTGTCTAGCTTTGGTCAAGTGGGACATCCATCATTTAAGAGCCTGACAGCAGTCACTGGCTGCTACAATATTCTGATTAAACAGTAAACCAATAAAATGCTTCAGCCTCTGTTTGTATACAGAATGTAAGTTCAATAGCCCGATCTATCAAGTTTTATCTTATTCCTGCTCTTGATATTATTTATGATTTCATATTTGCTATTATTACTCCATCAGTCTGGAGAAAGGACATGAAAGATGAGAAAAAGGAATATGTGTGACGCGATGAAGTTTCCAGATACAATTTAAACCTGTGCAAATCAATATATGTTACCTCATGTTGAGCTTTGCAACGAGGTTCGCCTGTTAAACTAACAACTGCATAGGGTCCGTGCTGTCTTGTAGATAGTCAGCGGATTGCAGGCGGCTACTGAGCAAACCAAAGGCATCAGAGAGTTGAGGTAATGAAATTAGAGGGCAGTTTTGAGCAGCTTTCCTTGTCTGTGAACACAAAAACTATGAGGAGCTGGTGAATAAGAGCAACAACAAGTAGCTACTAGGGGTGCAACGATACTCGTATCGATATTGAACCGTTCGATACAGTGCTTTCGGTTCGGTACGCATATGTATCGAACAATACAACATTTGTAATTTATTTTATCAATTTTCCTTCTGACGATGCTGTCTGTGTTGAGCGCTCAGTGGATCTGCGCTCGACAGTGCAGCCTAGGCAGAATAGTCGAACGCAGATTCACTGAGCGCAGGGGGGCAAGCTAGCGAGACAGAAGTTAAGCTCTCCTTGCAACATGGCAAATTGAACCTCCCCCACCCTCATTCAGATCTGGCGTTTGGAACTATTTTGGTTTTCATGTGACGTATGACCCTGAAGGTAAGCG